AAGTCAAAATTTCCATTTTAACAATAAACTAGTGCTTACATGGCATTAATAACTCGAAATGAATCGCAATCGTGTAAAGTAATCACAGTTGGAATTAAAAGAGCATTCAGCGAGACGTCGCGACGTCTTAAGATTAAAGTTTACACAACAGAAATATTTCTGAAACGTCGACTTGGAAAAGTTTCGTCTTTGTCATGTAAGAAAATACGGAGGAGTGGAATCATTTGTCTTCGGCGAGTGAAGCACTAAACTCAAGAGTTTTGCATCCCTAGCAATAAATATTCGTGAGAATGTAAAAGCAGATACGAAGAGGAATTAAAACGATGGATCTAGATTTGTAAAGGCTTTTTCATTTGATAGATGTTTTTGTAAATCTTTTGCGAGTATAACTTCTGAGAAATGGCTCGAGACATTTTATATGGATTCTTTGCCAGTCGAGGGATTACGTTAAATACAATATTGTTTGTCTTTTGAAAATAAAAGAAGGGTTAGTTATTGTTGTTTACTTAGGTACTTAAAACATTTGTCATTGTAAGAATATAAAAAGTCACCTTTTAGCAGTAAACCGAGTTATTAATCTATTTTTTTGTATTCAATTGTAAAACAAACAGTGAATATTGTAAACTTAATATAATGATATATTAATATTTCTTTCGAGTTTGTGTTCCCAAAGGGTAGGTAGGGTAGGTTGCTACATCGTAGGTCGCAACATCACTTACCACCAGGAGTGGTAGTAGTTTCCAAATGCCTGCAAATTGCGAAATAAAAAAAAGGTTTTATATTTTTTTTTCTAAGTAAAGACTATGTAGATAAACTTATATCAAAATAGTTATAAACAGTGACGTTAATAACATACAATCAGTAAATCTGAAATGACTAATTATACGACTTATACACATAAGTCGTATAATTATACACATAAGTCGTATAATTAGTCATTTCAGATTTACCCAACTTTACGGACATACCCAACTTTACAGAACAGACGATGCTTATAAGTATCTATGGGTATTGCAAATTTCAAATGAACATATTATTATTATGCTTGGGTAACGTTGTTTAACGTCTGGTTTTTTTTAATTTTTTACTTTTTAAAGTGTTTGGAGAAGAAAATAACCAAACAACCTTTTACCCGAACAGAACTGCTACTAAAAGTTGGTCAATAATACGATGTGAAAGAATTCTATTCTACATAGTAATATGGATAATATAGACAGCCAGACAACATTCCTATAAATAAAATACGAGCAATAATTCGCAACAATTAGTCAAATTGATTCAATCACTAATTGAGTGCTTCACAATGCAGTTGATGACATACGTTTCCACTTGAACGCGTTTCGTTCACGATTCAATGAATAAATAAATGGCTTTCGGCTCCAGACGACTGTTAAGTGTAATTTTTATATTTCGTTGTTACAAATTAAATTCTTCAGTTTTAAGAATTATTTTAAATATCCATTAAATTATGTTGGACAACACAAAGTAGTTGCTAGATTTTGTATTTATTTTCTTATGGAAAAATGGGTCGAACGAGCAGGTGGATCACCACACCTGATGGAAGGCCAAGGACACCTGCAACACATAAAATGTATTTTAAGTCAGTAAGAGTCTGACACTCCCTCTCTTCAGTAAAGAGTCTGACATTCAATATCAACGCCTACTCTTGCCCTGGGCGAGAGCAGTTATTTGATAATTTTTCCTCCTAGAAAAAGGTGACCTACCTGTTAAATATAGTTTCCATAAAACATATGATAATTCCGTGGCATTATTTGTCTCTATGTCAAATGATTTGGGTCGGATAGGGTCCAGTCTGAGCCCTTATCACATTTCAGTCCTTCGTGAAAAATATTACTATCCAATCAGCTTCTACGTTTTTTCCATTCTTGTGCCAAATATTAAACATAATTTTATTTTATCAACTTTATTGTATTTTCATATGACCGTTTATATCGAAATTAAACTGAATTTAATAAAATATCGAAGACTATTATTTCATTTTAGAATGAACGATTTTTAAACGTATCTCAATTTTTATTTATGTTAACGAGCAGACGATTTACTATTAATATTTAAAGCAATCCACATTACGCATCATCGGCAATACCAGAAGAGTTACGAGTGCGATGCCATGCTTTTTTGGATCAGATTGGGGTTAAAAGGAAGGATTGGGCCTGGAGTACACTTACTCAGACGGCGAAACACAACACTGTGGTTGTTTCAGGCCAGTTTGCAACTCCGGTCGAGTCAATCCATTCGTGTCGAAACATGGCTCTCCCCTATTATTTACTCATAACAATTTAACACACTATTTAAAAAAAAAATTCACAATGTTGTCAAAACATAGATCATTATGTTCAAAAATATGTTATGACTGTGCCTATAGGTTTGTCAAAAGCTTTATGAAAGCAAATTTTATGCATACTTGCTACCCTTAAAAGTGTTGTGTTCATTTCACCCTCGAAATGGGGACGTTGGTATGCTTTGACGTACTACGCATAAGTTGCAGACCTTTCTATACTTAAAATTATATCGAATAACTGCAATTTTTGCTATAATTAAAATAAATTAATTATTAATTATAACAAAGAGTTTTTATGCTGAAGTATGTTTGCAATATGTGAATCTGGAATGAAAAAATTGTGTTGTTTGTTGTTTTCGGGCCACCGAATAGAACGGTAAGAACCAGCCAAGGCCGCCAACAACACAAGTGCAGATACAAGCATGTGAACACGTTCTTAAAAAGAATACGAGCCAAGCTTCAGCAAGAACAGTCGGCTCGACCAGAGTGATACAACGGCCTCACAGAAAACCGGCGTGAAACACCCAGAGCGTTCTGTTTCGCTGTGTGAGTGAGGTTACCGAAGGCCTAATCCCTCCCCCATCCCTTCCCAATCTTTATATATCGGAAACCCGGCGGCAATTTCTTTGGTGTTCTATAAAATTTACATTTTAAATTAATTGTAAATTATCAAATGTAAAAATTTTGCCAAAATGCCGAAATATTAACAAAATGATAAATTCAAAAATGAAACCTGTATTGTTGCTGTGTTGTACTGGAAGGAAAATAATATTATTCAATAAATAGCTCTTAGTATCAAAGAATGAGGTCATATGAGTTGGTATTCAGATAAACCTTATTGGCCAGTTCAATTTACCTGTATACGCACAGCATGTTCCAAATTGGTACTACATGTATTAAACAGTCACATTATCATTTCTATAAAGTTAACATGTATTAATAGTGATATCTCAGAAGTATTTAAAGCTTTGGAAACATAAATATAATATAAAAAATCGCCACTTAATCACTTAAAAGGGCGTTATTGAAATTATTTTCATTTCTACTTAATCTTTTTTTTTAAAAAACTTAATTATTTAAGGCAAGTCGATAAGGTTTTTTTTGTGAGGGGAAAATCATCAAATGACTTCTCCCGCCCAGGGCCGGGCAGGAGGGAGTGTCAGACTCTTACTGACTAAAAACCCCCTGTTCCTTCTCCTGCTCTGTGCCGAGGTCGCAGTGCCTCATTGCGCTTACCCCGCAACTCCGGCTGAACATCAGCCCTTTAGGGCCCCGTCTGTGGTGGTCTAATGGCTCTTTGAGGCGTGCGCGGAACGCTACGCGCCGTACGCTCGACTAAGGCCGGGCGCGAGAGGTCACTGCCGCCTATCACTTCCCTGAGGACACGACGGTGCTCAGCCCAGGCAGGGCATACCGCTACCGTATGCTCCACCGTATCCTCTAGGTGGTCCTCACAATGACGACACTCGGGCGTTTCTTCCCGCTGGATCCGAAACAGGAACCTACCGAAGCTGCCGTGCCCGGTAATCACCTGCGTCAGACGGAAGGTGAGGACGCCGTGGCGTCTCTCAAGCCACTCCTCAAAGAGGGGTCTTACCGCTGCTATAGTAGCGTGCCCGGCCCTCTTTTGCGATAGTCGCTGCTTCCACTCAGCCATGAGATCTTGCCGGCAGAGGATCCCCGGCGACGCGCTCTGCGCGCAAACTGTAGAGAACTTCCAGATCCCGTGGCGGTGATCCGGCAAGGAGGTTCGCCGCCTCCCCGGAGATCGTGCGATATCCGCGGATTATTCGGATAGCCGTGACCCTCTGGGACGCGACCAGCGTACGAGCCATGTATCGCACAATCCCCATATACAACCTCCGGCAGGAGGCGTTTGGCCCCCTGAGGTTGGGAAGGAGCCGCTTGAGCGCGGCCCCAGACCGTTCCAACTTAGGAGCCAAACGACGAAAATGCTCCGTGAAGTTCCATCGGCTGTCGAGGACGAGACCCAGGTACTTCATCGCCGACTCGACACCGATGGTAACTCCTCCTGCCGTTATTTGGGACCCATCTGGAGGTGGCGCGTTCCGACGGCCATAAAAACACATGGCCTCGGACTTGTGAAGCGCCACCTCGAGTCCCAACTGCCGGATCCTTGCAACGACTGTCGCGACCGCTTGCGACATCAGGTCGGCCGCCGCCTGATGTGACCTCCCATTCGCCAGCACCAGTGTGTCGTCAGCATAACAGACAATGCTGACGCCGCTCGGAGGGTCGGTGCGTAGCACCCAATCGTACCCGATGTTCCACAGGAGAGGTCCCAGGACTGATCCCTGTGGAACACCGCGCGACACCTCTCGCCGATTCCACACGAAGTCGATAAGGTTGTTAAGGTAATTTAAATAAAAGGCGTGTTTGTAACCGCACTCACGACACATGAGAAGATCTAATTGTGAGGCAAGGTTTTTTTAAAAAAAGTTTGTTATTTAAAATGACCTATTTTTAGATTTTTATTGCAAAGTTATTTATTACTATATATTAGATACATATATATATGTTATAATACATATAATATATAATATATTCAAATATTTTTGCATTAACCATTGCATTTTTCAAACTACCTGTATGTATTACGAGTTATAATTTAATTAGGTATTTTTAATTATTATTGTATATAAGGCAGTGGATTATACACTTCGAATCATTTCGCGCACATAAACAAACATGTGGGTCAAAATATTATTTCTGTTTTGCGTCACAAATATTTTTCGGGAAGTGAGTACGGTGTATCTGAAAGATACAGTGTCTTCGAAAAAATATGTACCCTGTAATTTAGGATTGTTGCATTTCGATAAAGTTCGTGAAAAATATTGGAAGTGTACAGTGAATTTTGGACTGTATAATATGACAGATGCTGTTATTTCGATCGTTTTTAATAATAAAATCAATGTCGACACTGTAAGTAATTGTGATTTACTACTTTAATTTCGCACATCAGTATAGCACAAATTTATTACGCAGGCCTTTTTGCCTATTAGGTTAAACGCTACAAAGGAATACGGATTTTCATAACCGCTTCAAGCCCCAACACTACTATAACTACTGCTTAAATAATAGAAGTAATTTTAAAAAAATAACTTTTTAAATACAATCCAAGTAGTATAAGTAAATTAATTAAATGATTGATAAAATTTATTTCAGTATCCGAACAACTACTTCATGGTACAACGAACAAATAAATACAGTGTAGTAATATCTTCAAAACAACTTCTACTGGAAAAATTCGTTTTTAACGTGTCAACAGAAAATTGGAAGAAAAATGTTAGTGATGTTCCTGTTGTTAGTTGGTTAACTTTAAACAATATTACTTTATGTAATGAGAGAATTAAGGTATGTATCTTATTTATTTTTATAATATTAAGAGTATTTTTTATTGTTGGTTATGATGTTTGATGAAAATGCATGTCAACAAACTTGCCACTTCTCTAGTGCTGCGGGTGTTCACGGGCGGCTTCGGTTACTTACCATCAAGTGATCGTTTGCCATATACCGTACAAAAATATTTATATTTTCAAATTTAATTCTTAATTTTAAAGCCTTTTAGAATATTTTTATATTGTGTTAGCAAATCTCTAATGTATAAAATCTTTCTTATTTAAATGTCCCTGTTTCTATACTACTTTTAGGCAGCACAAAGAGCGATGTCACTGAACGTAACTCACAGGCATCCGGGCAAACTGCATGCGCATGTCTGCGGCAGAAGGCCCATAAACCATGCAGAACTGGTGACAGTGAGAACTGAGGCTCAACAAGGTGACTGGCCCTGGCACGTCGCTATCTTCCTTAAGGATAAGCGAAATGTGTCGAGTTATCACTGTGGTGGTAATGTCATTTCTAGAACTGCGATTTTAACTGGTAAGTGTCTTTAGAACGTTAACGATATGTTTTAAATTAATAAGTTGCCTATTATTCTATATGAAACATCCTATATGTATTGGTAGGAACGGGTGACTCAGTAGGATATTTGCCACAAACAAAAAGAAACTGCGTGAAACAATGCCTTCTCTATGTTTTGCTGCGTAAATGAAATTAGGTTGGGTTAAGATTTCACATTGATTCCCGATTCTAAAATTTGTAGTTTCTAATAGTTTGTGGCAGCTATCACGTCTGTCCTCTGTCTCATGAAACACCTGTAGTGTGATTCTGTAAGACTTCATTCTAAACTTCGAATCTGAATCCGCCGTGAGTAGTAGTACACTAGCGCTACACTTGCGAGTTGAACTAAATTGACAGCAACATTTTGATAGATAAAGTATGAGATGAAGTTAAAAGTGACATTCTAAAATTGTATTTCCCCGTCACTTCGACGCTCACTTCAGACTCGAATAAGATTCAAAATCAAAAAATTTTTAAAGAATCGACGTGCTGATTGTTCTTAGTCTAACTTGATAATACGCATCTCTACATAAATGTTTTGTTATCATTACTTTAGTCAGTAATATTGTCATTTCATGATTTACAAACTATTATGATCCTGAATGTTGGACTCAAATTAACAACTAACAATTTATAACTGATTTTTCAGCTGCCCACTGTGTTTCAAACAACAGTGTTGTAAGGAACGTTAGTACAATGGTCATAGTTGCTGGAGTCAGTAATTTAACAAATACCAAACAACCTGGGAGGCAAACGCCTATTGTAAGTATTGCTTGAACCTTCGTCCAGAAACACTTTTTATCTTTAAGCTTTGTTTAACGTTCAAAAGTGCATGTAAGGGTCTAATTGAAATAAATGATTTTGACTTTAAAATGAAAAGAAAAATGTAAATGAAGCCAAGTAAACTTAACTTTAACATTACGCCTAGATCCATATACTATATATCTATATAAGTATATAGGTATAAAATTTTTATTATTGCCTATTTACAAAAATAATTCATTGCTTCAATTGCTATTTATAACAAGAATTAAAAATCCAAAATGAAGAAGCTAAATACAGCGTCATTAGTTTGATAGCTGTTCGGATCGAGCAAAGCGTTAAAACAATTGCGATTGTGTGTGCAACAATCGTGATTGGTATAATATGTTAAAATTAAAATATTTCCCATCATTTTCAGATAAAACAAATAGTTATGCATCCAGCTTACAAAAAAGGTATTCCTACATCCGATTTGGCAATTATTAAAGTGAATAACATCGATTTTACGGATTACGTGCAACCCATATGCGTTTGGGGTCCTGTGTTTGATAAAAATAATCTTTACAATAAAGAAGCTACGGTAAGTTTTACTTTGGAATAGCTTTATTTACTTGAAAGTACATAGTATGCGTAAATTAAAAATTTTACTGTACTATTAACAGGTCTGTTGTAATATCAATTAAAATAACAAATACTAGATACAACACTACTATTAGTTAGTTTAGGTTGTTGCCAACACTGTAATAAAAAAGGTAATAGAGTAAAAACTGTCATGGCTGTACTATGTCTGCAACAAGTAACGTGTCTAATAAAACAAGATAATTACATTCTTTCATTCAAATCTCAATTAGGTCTATCTGATCAAGATGTTTTGTAATCTGTTTGTAAACTTTTCCTTTTAATCACTAATTCTTAAGTTGTCCCCTTAACTGCAAAAACTTATATTAAACATACCTACATGTATGTTGAACTCTACAAACCACGCTCTCTTCATTGTACCTCAATTTCTACCTACGACATAGCTTCACTAAAAACAATTTTTTAAGATTACTTGTTTATACAGTTGGATGTATTTTTTTTCAGATGGTAGGCTTTGGTTTCACGGAAAGTAACAGGACATCGAAAATCTTAAGATCAACTCATGTTAAAGTGCAGAATGATTCTGTTTGCACCTCCTTCATGAATACCTATAGAACATTTTTGAATGATTACACTTTTTGCGCGGGAAACGGACCTAACTTAAGTAAGTATAAAATTATTTTCTATACTAATATTATAAAGAGGTATTTGTAAGTTTGTATGTAGGGGGTAATCTTTGGAACCGCTGGTTGGATTGCCAAAATTCTTTCACTGATAGAGCTACAATGTTTCTTAGTGCTATAGGCAATAAAACATCACGGTGAAATGGAGCTGAGCAGCGGGTGAAACCGCGCGAGAGCAGCTAGTATTTTATCAATATAGCGAACACCCTGTTTATTTCTTCATCTCTCATTACTGTTTGTCAAATATTTCTTCCATATTAAATTATTTTTTTAATATATATCTGAAACCCTTATCCCTTCCTAAAAGGCTGGTAACATCCTCGTAACTCCATTGGTGTTGCGGGTGTTTATGGGCGGCGCTGATTGCTTACTATCAGGTAATCTGTCAGCTCGCTTGCCGACCTATATAGGTATATTATAATACCATAAAAAACTGCCAAGTACATTGTTACATTATTGCCTACAACAGTAAACCACTCTCTAATACAATCCAATATTCGCTAAGAGACAGACAGGCGAACTCGACTAAATATTATCCTTTGAATAATGCAACTGAAGGTGCATGAACTGTACAATACTAACTAAGATTAAATTGATCAGTGGCTCGTAACTGATAGGGCTACCTGCTATAGTTGCGGACTATGGACCCATTTAGGTGAATAGATTATTACTTTGCATTGATCTACAATATTGAGGAAAGGTGTTTTCATTGGGTTAAGTACCTACGATTGTAATGTAATTGACCGATGTTGATCGTAGATAAAATTTAGTGTTTATGATTATTTTAATCTGTATTCAGACTAGATTTAGGTTCAAATTTAATATATAGCTCAGTATGTAGGTAATTGCTAAAAACTAAAATATGAGCAGTGAGGTACTAAAAAGAATTGCGAATAAAATACTATATGTATTTCCCTTAGTCCTATTATTATAATATAAAAAAATGTACACCATATAAATGGATCAATTATAAATTATTGCTTTTGGTGATAGTTATAATTAAAATCAAATTTGCAAAGTAATTAAAATTATATTTTCTAATAAAAAAATTGAATGCATAAAATAATATTATTGTAACATTTATTTAGATTAACAAATCCGTGTCATATTGATTAAACACCGATTGACCGATACTGTATCACAAAAAAGATTCGACGCATAAATAAATTGTGATATTGTAATAGTTGAATAATGCGACATTGTGATTTAGTTGGATATTTCATATTAGGATGCCTGTTTAACAATTTTTTTTTTCGTATTATGTGTTAGAACTGTAACTAACTCTATAATCAAATTTAAGAGTCCGTTTCACACACCTGGCAATTAGGTATTATATAATTATGTGAAATGTATGACCATATAATAATTTGTTAATATCGATCTGTTTTATGATGCAATCGGAAGGTGAAACATAGGCCCACCAACTAGAGTGTGAATTGAGATTGGATTCAATAGATTTTTTCCAGATGACGAACTAAAAAGTAATGTATGATTTGAAGCGTGTTTATAATATTTTTGACTATGTTTTTTTTATAAGTAGGTATTAGCGTAAGCAGACCTCTTGCTCGGTGGACCGACGACTTTGTTAGAGTCGCAAAGAGCCAGTGGAAGCGAGTGGCTACGTGTAGTTGGTCGTGGAAAACTAAGGGGATGGCCCTAACCAGTTGTGGACTTCTACCGACTAATGATAATGATGCTTATGTCATACAAAGTTAAGCAATAACAAACCGTCTTATAATTAACGCCCATGTCAGAAAATAGATTCAGAAAGACTTATCAACTTAATTTTTCTTTTCAGCTGTAAATCCTCTAAACGGAGACAGCGGAGGCGGACTGGTATTCAGTACCATGCAACCCGACCATAAGACAAGTTGGTTCTTAAGAGGAATTCTGTCAAAATGTTTTGGACCTGTTGGTACAGTTATTTGTGATCCTAGTTACTATGTGGTGTATACAGATGTGGGACCTTATTTTGGTTGGATTTATTACCACGCTGACTTAGACTTTAGTAATAATATAATGGTTTCATATATGAACTAATCATTACCGACAAGCTATGAGAATCCATTATTGGACTATCATGCTCTCTACAGAAGAGGAGTTTGCTTCATTCTCCAACTTAAAAGGACCAAATTGACCAGAGAATGCTGCTCAGTCCCTTTTACGTAATTAATTATTGTAGTTCTCTTATTACTGATAATAAAAGTTTACAGATGAAAAGAAATTTATTCCTTTTTGGCCATCAACACATGACGTATACATTAATATCAGAACCCAAGTATGTTCTGAAGCCACAACCAGTCAATAAGCAAGAACCTAATGTTAGCAGTGACCCTTGATTCACGTTGATCAAACTGGTTCTAGGTCCATACCCAGCATCGAGCTTAATACAGTAAAATTTAACTAAGACTAAATCCTAAATGAAAAAATAAACTGATTGAAAAGGTTGAAATCCTATTAAAATCTAAATAAAAACTAATAATTTAATTTTAATAGGCATTTTTAGTAACGATGTACATGTATGGTACTAAATGATAATAAAAAATCAAAATTACGTATTGAATTAAAGAAGGAGGAACACTTTCATCGTAATAGCTTATGCTACCTTCTCCAAAAAATCAAACATGCAAATACTCCTTTATCTTCTAAGATGCAACCTTTCATCTCTAAAAAATCGAAAATATATTAAAATTTTCTTAAAGCAACATCACCGGGCGCCGGTCTTGCATAATTTATTAGAATCTTATTAAAAAGTGTCAGCGAAAGAAAAAGGAGAGGTCCGTATTATAAAAGTCTCCATTATGTCGTCCAAGTTAGTTGTTTTGTGAAAAAATAATAATAATTATGTTCCCTTTGTTTTCAGACTTCACCTTTGTTAATTTTATCTTTTAATAAATAACTTTTTAATGAACTTTTATTGGTGGTTCTTTGCGATGAGTCGTGCTTTTTGTGTTTAAAATATTGACCGACGAAACTGATGTTTTAGAGGCTGGTAATTTGCTGTGTTTACGTTTCATTAAAATAAAACAAATTGTCAGTTAAAGAATAAATAAAAACTAAACAATGATCACATGGAACAAATCCACTTCGCATTATTCATAAAAGAAAGGATCTACATAGAACTTAATTATATCGCCATTGGGATCAAAATCGAGTTTTGGAAAAAACGTGGCTCCCTTTTATTCTCCGAAGATCATGGCGTAGATGCAAACACTAAACGTAAACGCCTAATTTTCACCAATTGTGTTAGAAGTCATAGAAAATAAGAGGTGAGCCTCTAGGCATATATACGGGACAGAATTCCAGACTTCGTTTTACTACGACAATTTCTGGAATCTGATAAGACAAGCCAATTTTTGTAGTAACCATGCTTGAGTGCGCGCGTCCGAAACTTAGCAAGTTGATGCAATGTGACTTTTCGTAGTTATATATGTACTTTCTAAGATTATTTAGATACTGATGACAAACAGCGGAGGAAAATATCGTGACAAAACTGGGACTTACATGATTATTAGTTTAAAATCACCAATCAGTTTTGAGTATCGTTTTTATTTATGCTTATGCATTCTTTGTGAAAAAAAGAGAACTTTGCTCGTCGGTGGGCACTTTTAAATGCTGATGATGCGATGTGATGAAATTAGCTAGGTACCTACATACTAACCTACCTATTTATGGATCAACGTAATCGACTTTCAGACAATAATATGAGTAATAAAATAAGTCACATTTCATATGCAAATATAAGTACAATTTAAAAACCTCATTATGTAGTTACACTTAAAATTCACATTCACAAAACCATTACAATGAGCAAAAGAATTAAAGATGCAAGTGCATTGTGGCTGCGAACTAACGAAGCTTTGCGACTAGACCACCAGTGCATGCCTCCGCATTAAATTAGTCGGTAAACATGCTCTAACCACTGCTTATGTTATGATAATAATACCTACTCTATTGTATTTGTTAGTCCACTGAACTGTGATGTGGTGCTTAGTAACATTACTCGTAGTTGATAATCAATCATGTTCTTAGACCTCTAATCTTTTCAGTCGGGGTTGCGGGGCTAGAGCAATAAGGTACCGCGGCCTGGGCCCAAAGCAGGAGAAGGGACAAAAGCCTTTTTACTCAGTAAGAGTCTGGCGCTCCTCTCGCCAAACCCTGGGCTAGAGTAGTCATATAATCATTTAGCCCTCACAAAAAAATTTACCCCACTGTTGTAAAATAGTTCTAACTAGTTGAAACTATCACACACCGAACACGATAGCTGTCAATCGTTCATTTTGATTACACGGCCGCCAAAAACAGTACCTATACGAGCACAATATCTTTACCACAAAAGTAACGTAAAATGAATAATGAATATTAAACTACTAAGCCATCCCTGGACATTTAAAAGCACTGAGAAGTTGTTGGTGCAGTAGTGGTGTGATTGCGGGTGCTAGCACAATGATGTGCCGCAATGATTTTCAAAAAAAAACCCTACAGATCAAAATAATCAAACATTTAAACGTATAAATAATTAAACGTTCCGAATATTTTGTAATTTATTTTGAATCGTAAATATTTTTTTAACAAAACAGAACGCAATATTCAGTGCCTAAAATAGTATTTACAAAATCAGTTTTTTTATGAAACAGTTCGTAGATATAGGGCGAGGTCAAATGAAATTGAAAAAAAAAATGACTGTTGAATAAATTGTAGGCTTTGCCTCAATAGATTTTAATCTCAGAAACTAAAGCTTTACGTTCTTTTGAAATGTTGGCTTGAATAATTGATGAAATCATCGATGTAGATATAGTTTTTTTATAGGTGAATGGATATTCGACTTCAAATTTATGATAAAAAAAAATAAGTGTCGGTGGTTCGGCATGAATGGGTCGGATCGACCGGAGTGATACCACGGCCTCACAGAAAATCGGCGTGAAACAACCACAGCGTTGTGTTTCGCCATGTGAGTGAGGTTACTGGAGGCCCAATCCTTCCCCTCTCCCAATCCCTCATCAATCCTTGCCAATCCCTAAATATCCAAAACCCTAATCCCTAAAAGATCAACAACGCACTCGTAACTCCTCCGTTGCGGGTGTTCATGGGCGGCGGTGATTGCTTACCATCGGGTAATCCGTCAGCTCGTTTGCCGACCTATTACATAAAATAAAAAAATTAGAATAATATAAAAAAAATTACATAATTATTAATGAAATCCTAAGAGTTTAAAATAATGGTAACTAGTAAATTTTGGTTGAACTCATCTCGTATGTTAGATATAGAGCAATGAGATTACTTTCTATGATTAACATTAAAACTGGAAATAATGTACACAGTAAATATTATTTTGTAATGTATGACATTGTTAAACAACAACTCAAAAATTAATTAACTACACGCAAGTCACTTATCAACTTTTAACTATAAGGAATTTAAGCAATTAGTCGAAACACGAAAAGACACCGGCTATCAAATTCTACCTCGTACTTTCATAGTACGTCTTCGTACCTTCAACGGACTTACCCAACGCCCGGGAAGGGTAAGTAAGGAAGTAATTTAATTAAGTAATTAACTACAGAAACGTGGTAATCGCATGTAACACAGCCGTTTCGCTGACTGCCTTTATAAAAATAGAGGTAACTTAGTAACAACAAAAAAAAAGTTTACAAAAACAACAACTTCAACACCCTTATTACAATAACAATAAGAATAAAAATTCTGTGAATTCCTACCAAAAAGGCGCAAAATGGCTATGGCCATCTACTAATGTTTCCTTTTTTGTAGGTATTAAAGTTAGCGTCAAGTAATCCTCTGCTTTCCATGTAAAAGCATTCCACACCTGGGATCCTTACGTGACACTACGCAATAAAGGCTTTTGTGTTGCAAAGTTGAAACTGCAGGTAAAGTTAACTTTGTGTTTACGACTATAAGGTTGATTTTCTAAAGTATTTACGAAATTAGAGTAACTGAAATGAGGTCAATAGAGCAAGAAGCTGAATGCGTTTGATAACTTCGAGAGAAAGACTAGAATACTAGAGGAGTTAAACTAGAATGCAGATGTAATTGGAACTGTAAAATTGCATTTGTTCTGCAGTTATAAAAACGAAATAATTTTAAAGAAAAAGACCGATGTGAATTTGAAATGTAGGTAGAAAATATTTTTAACTGTAAAGCGATGATTATACAGACATTTAGTACATAAATTTATGAATGGCTACAGCAAACTATAATTATATTGAGTAACGGTTTGACGAATTAATTTCACTAGTATTAAGACACAATACATAACCACACCCATAGTAAGTCACACAGCTAACTGAAAAATAAAAGTTATATATTTCCTACTTAAAATGTTTAACACTATTTATGATTATTTTACTCCAGTACTTATTTAGAAAACAATAAAAATAATTTGCCACAAAGAGTTATTTCCTTATTATTAAGTAAACAAATGTTAATTAACCTCCTTTTAAAATATTTTGAAATGTCGTCTATTCCATACTTAAACGTAATCTGAGGTAGCATACCTCATTATCACAACAAACTTGGCAACACGCGTTGCGTGTCTTGAAGGTGTTGTTATTGCGCTTGCCTTATAACAAACTATGTATGAGTTACATTTGTTTTTTATTTTACATGAAACTTTTTTGAATTGTTGTGAAAAACGTCTTTTTTTCTATTAACTGATGGTACGTAATCGGCGCCGCCCATGGACACTGGCAATACCAAATGTAACTACGATTGCGCTGCCGGCCTCTCGTGGGTTGTTAGGGATTTACGGATAGGGGATGGGGGGCGGGAGATTGGATTTCCGGTTATCTCACTCAAACGGCGTAACATAACGAATGTACTGCTTCACGCCTGTTTTCTGTAAGGACGTGGTATTACTCCGGTCGCGACGGCCCATTCGTGCTGAAGCATGGCTCTCTCACACTTAAACTTAGTTAATGATGTAGTGTTTTTTTTTCAGTTTGAAGTTACTGTTTAGAGATGCAAAAAATAACGAAACTTTAAACGACTTCTCCTAACCTAACATGGAATCCACGTGTAAGGAACAAACAGTGGTTAAGCTGCATTTTAGACAGAGTACTTAATGTAGACAGATCGCTGATAAATAGCAATCGATGACAAAGAAGAAAATTTAATGATATGAGTATCTAGACTATCTTATTACCTGTTATGAAAAATACGTCAAGATTTAAATCAAACTTAACAAAAGAAAAGGAAAATATTGCTGATGTATTATAATTACACTTTAATTACTAATCAAGTTTTACAATCTAAAAAATCTTCACAAAATTTTAATACTAAAAAACACAAAATAACTACACAGAGAAACTGAAGCTCTAAATTCTCTGATAACTTAATGATATAAAATTTATCTAACGTCCCCCCCCTCCCCTATCTCTTAAGAAAGTGGCATAATGATACTGACAAAGGGGGAATTTATTCTGTAGCGATAACAAGAACACTTTTTTATATCAAAATCAAAGCGTTGTTCGAGTTTCTTTGATGTGCCACAATTCCTTTTCAACTGGGAATCGAATTCGAAGCACGTAAAGTTATAATCATGTCGGAGTCCTCCAATGTTTGATAAAGTCTCATGTGTTGGAGAAATGGCGTGCAATTTGTGAGCTTAGAAT